GTGTCAAAAGCCAATGGAAACTGATTACCATTAATGAACTCATCAACCAAATATTCTCAACTATTTATACAGCCTCACTGAAACCCATCCATTTCTCCTGACTTCAATTCCATCTTCTGTTAACCATTATATTTTCTTAATTAACCAAAAGTAGCTCTCGGTTACAACAAACATGCGTGGACATAGATAAACTAAGTAAAAACCTAATGAAGGTCATTAGTAATGATTAATGATCACAAACACAGGACAGAGAACTGAGCACTGAGGCTTAATATGTGAGAACAAAGAAAATGTGGAGCGCTTAATACGTTAAGTACCCTCGAGATGAGAGCAATTAGTAAGCAGCAGAGCTTCTGAGCAGCTAAATATCCACATAATCTTGTTCAAAAGTGATATTACGGTCTAGATGTTTGTAAAATAATGCAGGAACAACAAAGTGTGTTTGTGGGCGTGATCTACAGAAAAGAACAAGCACTATAAGCCTCAGAGTTTTAAATACGGAGGTATCTGAAAGTCCTGAAGAGCTGCCAGTTTTATAATGTCTTGAGGCTTTGGATCAAAGGATGAAGTTCCAGTTTTACAATGATGGAAATGTTAAACACGCTCAGCTGGCCTATTTCCACTCTAAGGCTGTATTCTTTCCCAATGTGGGTATTTTATGAACACTGGATCAGCTCTTTACTTTCACAAGGATATTTGAAAGCGAATGAGAGTTTAACCAATCAGCGAATCTCATGACCCAGTCTTTGAACACGTTGAAACCAGGGCAACCAGACCTAACATAGATGGGTTTAGATTGCAGGAAGAAATTGAACAACAAAAGAGGAACAAAGGCAGAGAAAGAACGCTAACTCCAAAGTAAAACCTATTTTGTGAGGTTTTGTAATTTATTTCATTAAAGGAGACTTTCCGTGCTTTTAAATCCTTTTTCACATTTACTAAATCATTCAATTGGGCTCTATATAAAGTGGATTTGCAATACTTTGGTCTGAATTCCTCCTTTCCCTCTCTTTCACCCCTATCTGAGGCATGTCTCAGATCAATTCGATTTGAGGCTGTCTCTTTAAATCCAAACAAAACTTCACACCCTGCCCCCGTCTAGCTTCCAGACCGGTCCATTCTGGTTTGATAGAGGGGTTTACGATTATATAGAAGTGCAGGAAATTTATTTACAAATGAATTAAAAGACGTTAACAAGGACAGACTTGTCCATCCAGCCTTACATGTTGGAGCCAGAGTCTGACCCACAGCCAGAGGAGAATGAAGACCACCAAATTGCAATTGGTAAATCCAGAACTTCTTTAGAAATTCCATTGCAAATACTGTGATGTAATAATTCAGAAAATGTCTTAGACAATAAAGAAAACTAAATAGGTTGGAAAATATGACCCAATGATATCTTTGCAGCACTGGGAGAGACTAAATTCTGCACTTTTACAGACTCCCAGTACCGATACACAAGAAAATGTATTTAAGGTCTAAAAAAACAACAGTTTTCTAATGATTTTCAGTGATAGAATAGAAGAAGGCATCAACCTGGATTAAAATCTAGACTTGGTCTTTCAAGGAGTTTTCTTAAAACTTGTCCTGTCCGAATAATGAGGGTTAGTGTTTGTTGAAATAATGTACAACAATATCATTCTCACATCTGCACACAACAGGAATGCTTGCTTGTTTTTGACTTACATGAAAAGTGTGCTACTGAATAGTAAAACTATTGCAGGGATCCCCTCTGAATTTAGAGAAGTCAGCATCATTTCAGACACTTGTACTGACTTGTTTTTGACCATGGGAGATTTTTTTTATCTTAAATTATAAGTGAAACTGCAAATCGTTTGCAATAGTTGAACTCTTGTCGAGTTCATGCAGTGATTTCCCCACAGGACTGCGACTGTTGCAGGCTTGAAGATCACAATCATTTGCTATTGGTTTGGTCAGTCGATAATCTTTTGCCTCATCCCTTGTGTGCAGAGATTTTTCTGGATTAAACGATTGAATTATTGAACCATAGGCCTTTGCAGTCTTTCATACTTTGGCCAGCCATTTTCTGTACAGTTCTCTGAGATGTTTTTTTTTATTCCAATCACAGAGATGTTTCTCCAATACTTTTAAATAACAAAACATTTTATTTGACGAATATCAGCGCTTCKGTAACACGTAAATCAGCCCCAAAACACGTTTTTTGGCTTTGAGAAATGGGAGTTTCTTATGTCTCCTGTGTTTCTGCATCGTTTGATGAGTARTCATTTAAAAGCAGTCAAACATTAAGTCAAAATCATTTCCTGGTTGAAGGATGTTACTGTCAGATTCTGATGTGTGCATTTCTGGAGCAGAGTCAGGAGCTGTGAAGAGACGGTGAACGATTTCTTCAAAAGTAGCTCTGATTTCCGTTCGCCTCTTGAAAATATTTGACTCTCACCTCTGTCACAAACAGGAAACATGGTGTTTTTGACAAGAACATGTGAAAGATAAAAATTGAGTAATCTCTTCTGCAGTCATGACTTTGTCATGTTTTTTTTTGTCACATTGCTGTGTTGCTGAATTACTGAACAGTTGGTGTGTTGCACTCCCCAGTCTCCAATGCACTTTCTATTTATAGAAAATGGATGGGCGAGTGGTCAAGCATGGGATTGCTACCAGAGGATCACAGATTTTAAAATATATATATTTTATTTAGTTCATTATTTTAAAGTAAAGCTTCTGGTCAAAGTTTTATGAAATTATGAGTGGTGGAGAAATAGTTAAATATTCATCAGCAATTTCCAGTCTGGTAAATATCATTTTCTGCTGCTCAAACAAATTTCCAAAAAAAGTCATTTTGGCATTAAACAATAAAGAAATAAATTACAAGAACAAAACGTTGGGGTCTTCAAATAGAAATGTTAAATTCCACTCATTGTTACACCTTCTTTAAACAGAATTTTTTTTATTTCCACCTTTAGTCGTTTCTATCCCTGCATTACAGTCACTCTAATGAAACCAACCTTAAGCTGTCATGGTGTAAGTCACTTTTGAGCTCTATCTGTAATGCAGCACAGCACTCTAGTGGCCACCAGGGTAATAATGTGTGCKTTTTTATTGCTATCTTTGTGAGGACAAGTCTGAGTTACAGAAGGAGGGAGAAAAAGTTAAAGTCAAACACAGACGAATTGCTTTAAAAGTCACAGTGGAAAGTCTTTATTGAACTGAAACCCCTTAGGTGTCATCAGCTCTCTTCGAAATGACTCACAATCTTTTCTTAAGCTAAACTTTTAAGAAACACCTGGTGCTTATCCCTTCACAAGCATGTCTTTAAGACAAATGCATCCAGTTTTTTTTTCCTTTTAACGTACCCACATATCTTTGTGTTTGTGCAATTACTGCAGGTGCAAGGCAACTTTAGACGAGGAGAGGTGAAATACGCAAAGCAATAAAAAAAAAGGGAAGAGAAATGACTGAAATCTTCTGATTGGAACAAACAGATTCTATAACCAGTGCTATTTTCTAAAAGAAAAATTATAATGAATTAAAGTTCTCATTTTCTCTGAAAACAGCAAGCACCCCTGAAGCACTGCAGTCACTCCACGCAGCCATTAGTGTGAGTCTACAACTGTTCATTATGCAAAGCAAAGCCTAAGTAATTTACAATTTAACATTACACGGACTAAGTGATTTGAGACCAGAACTCTTTTCAAAGTCTCGGTGGTATTTTCTACCACAAAAATTTCCATATGAACAGCTAGATGCCTTGTGTCGGCTGCTGTTCCCCGCTCCCTGGGCAGCAGCTAACATTTGAAAATGTTAAGCCAAAATCAATGAGTTAGAAACAACAATTTTTAAAGATCTTAGGAAAATTGACAATTCATGTGCTGTCGTGCATAAGCTGCTATTACACCACTTTTTTTTTTCTTACGTATCACCTTAAAGACTCAGTAACATAACATAAATGAAAGATTTTGCTGAGAAAGTTATTTCCAAATCAAACAAAATTTCCAGCCAGGCTTTCCCCCCCCCCCCCCCCCCCCCCCACATTAATGCAAAAATTCTACTTATTGATATTTGCATTTCAATTTTGTTTAGTTCAGAATGATAATTCAAGGACAGACATGGCAATAAGTAAAAGGAGTGGTTCAGCCAATTTCAAACCCTCTGATGCCTGCTCTGAATGAATAACAAATCAGCTGAGCCCAATTTTATTTGACATTGTGAAAGTGCCATGTTCATAGTGATGGCACTTTTATTTCTTTATTTATTTAGTGCAAGCCTAATGCAGCCTCCGCGAATTTCAGAGGAACCTCACATCCTCCTGGAAGARGTAAAATATGTGATTTATGTGATATTTTTGCCAATGAAGAATCAACTGCCCATTGGGGAGGCATGTGCATTTCAAAAGGGGCAGCTGAATCCTTGCATACATTATTTGTTATTTTTGATGAGGATATATGTTTGACTGTCACATTAAAATTGTTACCAGGACCGCCATCTTTCACTTGAGAAATATCACTAAAAACAGATCTTGATTCAGAAATTGATTCGTATTGTGACGTCAGAAGATGTTCTCTAAAAATTCTTTGTTTGGTCCAAAATGCTGAGTTCTGCTGAGTGTTATAGGAGAGCTCGCATTCCTCTCATTTTAGCATCTCTATCTTCATCTCTGTAAAATTAAAAAATAGAATAAAATGTAAAAAATAAAAATAAAAAATCTGCCATTATTGTACTTAATTTGAAAAAKAAAACTATCATCTTGTAAAAACAAATGTTTTGTAAATGAACAGTCTTTTGAAAACATATTTTCTTTCATATTTATTGTATTATGAATATATTGTTAATTGCTCTAACTGGTTAAAAAAACGTGTTGGTCCTCAGAAAATCCTTGAAATAACAGCGCAAAATAAAATTTAATAATTGAAGAGTTTTAGTTCTTGAATTAAACAACAGACGAAACTGCATTAATGAGTTTATATAGCGCATATCTTTTCCATGCTCCTTTTCCTGGTAGACCGCACGTTTCTTATGACGTCACCACGCAGTACGTCCCGTCTACAAAACAACCCACGTTTTAGCATGGTGGAGGAAGGCTAGGGAAGCTGTGCAGCGGAAGTTATCGAAAGTCTTTAAATTTAACACTATACTGTGGAACGACATATATTTAGAGTAAGTGGTTTATATCTTAAGGTGCAGAACTAACTTCAATGTTGTTTTTTATTGGTAATTCATCGGTCTTTAAAGTCAGAGCTTACTGTTAGCCATGAGGCTAACGTTAGCCTCCGGTCTGCAGCGTCGCTCGCCTACTAGAAAGGAATGAAACGTCCTATTTTACTTTCTGTCTGCAGGTGGTGGCAAGCTGAGTTCAGCGACACAGTGTACAACTTTGCCTTTCGTTTGCAGTTCAGTTAGTTAAAGTAGAATATCATAATCTCGTTTCATAATGGAAACAGCTTTGTTTTTCATTATCCATGGCRGTGGCTCACAGTACAATTTTTGTTTTTATTTAGTCACAATGTTGATACAAATAATCTAGGATGGGATGTGAAGAATAAGTGTGGCAAATTATTATAAAGTAATCAAGGAGTTTAGATACCAAATGGGTCACTGTAAAGTTATTGCTTGAATATAACAAAATTTTATGACGCACAGATATTTACTAATTTTCCCAAGTTARGTGATTTGCATATTATAGATGTCTTTGTTTTTTGTTTTTTTTTGTATCAGTAAATGTTCTTGAGAGACTTTGTCTTTATGTCTAATAGCATAGAAAAAGTAAAAAAAGAAATAGCATATATCACTATAAACCCGTTTTTAAAGCTAATTCTAAGGTTAAAACAAGCTAAATCAGTGTCCTTCTGAATCATCTGTATTCACTACAGCAACTGTCTTTTTATTTTCTCTTCAGGACAAACGCAATGGCTGATCCTATCATTAAATCAAAACAAGTGCAGAAAGAGGTCAATGGAATTTCAACGGAAGTCGTCTGCACAGAGTTCAGTAATTACATATTTGTGGTTCTCACTCAGTATGGCAAAATCGGGACTCTGATTTCAGTCACACCTGACTCCAGAACTAATGACATCAGCACCCCGACGTTCTCCACTAAAGTACTGCTGGGCAAAGACGAGGTACGGAGGATGAAACTGTTCAGATTAATATTGTGTCAGTGTGATTATACACTTCTTGTCACATGGGGGTAACTCATTTCATGTGGTGAAAGGGCAGATGAGATTGGCTCTGTACTGCTTCGGCACATTGTTTAAAAATTAGATCTGTGCTGCCGGCATGGAGTTCAGTGGTCTTTTAAAATTTACACAAGAAAACTCATTTCATCTCTGCATGGGGTTGTCACTGTTGCAGGCACACAGAGCAGGGGATGTCATTAAAAGAAAAGTGAATTAATACAAAGTTTGATGTGAAGTGTATGAGACTTTTTGCTTATTTAAAAAAACGTTTTCAGTAAATTATGGTTTGAAATGAGTTTCTCATTGTCATTATTTTATTCAATAACCACGATTCATTTAGCTTAAATCATTCAAGTTATACTGTAGTTACATTGTGAGATGTTTTTAAAAAAGGTGTCCCCTGACAGATTTTCTGATGTCAATTTTTTTCTATGCAAAGTTGTGTTTTCATACCTGATCCTTGTTTCTTTTCGCAGCCTCTGACTCACGTCTGTGCCAAAAACCTGGCTATGTTCGTGTCACAGGAAGCCGGGAACAGGCCTGTTTTACTGGGACTGGCTCTGAAAGATTCCTCCCTGGAAACAGTTAAACAAATTAAGGAGATGGTCAAAGGTTGTCAAGTGTGGTGATAAGTCCTGAAAACGACAGGAGGTCTAAAGGCTAGGAAACAGGATAATGATGTGGATCACCTCTGTCACGTTTTTCACTTATTTTGTGCTCACAAACATGACGGGGAAAGATGTTATAGTGGGAGTGAAAAATATACCATTACACTGTATATAGCTGTTTTGTATTTCAGAATGCTTTTAGTTAAACTTGTGTTAAATGAAGTTATTAAAGGGCACTTAAAAGAGAAGATTTTAAGTCTAATTTTCATTATTTAGCTTTGTATCACAATTAACAATGCATATGAGCAATTTTTCAACTGTGCAATGGTGAAGCTTTTGTTTTCAAAGATGTTTCTTTATTATTTTGACATTTTGTGCTGTGTCAGCAAACAAAACAAAAGGTTAGCAGGACTATATTAAGATTTGAAGACTTGCACTTGCTCCTGTTGATCATTTTTGATATTTTTTGTTGTTCAATGTTTGCACTCTTGTAAAATTAGGTACAATAGCTCAATGTTTCCCAAACTTTTAGATGTCAACCCACAACGTAACATTGGACGGCACTTTTGAAAATTGTGATTTTATTTTATTAATTTTTCATCTGTGGTAGGCTATTACACTTGGAAAAACATGTAAAAGTTGTTAATTTGTCCAATTTATAAACTGCAAAAACATACTGAGAGTAATKTATGACTTCAGATTACAACCATTGTTGTATAAAGTACCACAAAGTTATACTTGAATAAAAGTACAAGTATCTTACCAAAAAATTACTTTAACTTTARCCAAAGTATCCTTTAGGAATATTACTTGAGTGAAAGTCTTAAAGTATCTGGGTTTTTTTTTTGTACTTGAGTATTC